ACTGTGTGACACCTTTCTATCAGAACCAGCATTAACAATTTGACCTACAGTATCTCGTCTGTTGGATCAGACCACAGGGGCCAGCCTTCTCTTCCCACATTCATCAGTGATTCTCGGCCCTCCGTGACCCTGTAGACACTTTTCCTTCCTTGGATCCTTTCTGAAAGGTTCTGACCACTGCAGACTGTAGTTAACTATCAATGGTCATAATGTTATGGCTGATCGGTTTATGTCTGTAATGTATTTCTTGTCCTGTCCCTCTTTTGAATATTTCTAGCTGTTCAGTCAAAAACAACAAACAGTGGAGGTCAGCATTATGTTTTCATCTGCGTTTACCCTCAGCTGTAGTATGTGAAACACAAACTGGGCTCTTAAACTGATAAACTGCCTCTTTGACCTCTGGTCGAAACCCTGCCCAAATGTTGAACCGGAGATTTTATGCCGATAGTTTAAATAACAGAAACAGTTTTTACTCATTCAGACTTGATGTCACCTTCTATCCTCAGCAGGGTGTTGGTTATGTTTGTCTCCTCGTCATCGCTGAGTTCACAGGTGTATATCCCCTCCTGTTTCAAAGACAAGTCTTGTAGTGTGAGGCTGCCTGACTCAGACACACCCTTCACCTGCTGCCTCCACTCCTCTGAGACTGTGTAGGGGACGCTGGTCCTGGTCCGGTTCAGGATGATCTGACTGCGGTTGAATCTCCAGACGAGGCTGAAGTTGAGAAGGGAAGTGTTTGAGGCAGAGCAGGGGATTGTTGTGTCAGAGCTGGAACCACCGAGAGAAGCTGGAATTATAAAATAAAACAACAAATGAATAAACAGATCAAAATGCCTGTGAATAAAATGATATAGAAACACATATTGAGACACTGTCGGATAATAAAGGGTTTGATGTATTTGTTTACTAAATTAGTTTGCAGTATCTAAACCACTAGTGAAAAGGTAAAAAAGGTTCTTACAGTAGTTTGTTGTTGTGTAGTTGCAGGAATCTTTTAAATCAGTGCAGACACCAACCTGGTTTATTGGTTTAGTTGACAGATTAGACGTAATACTCACTCAGTTCCCTCAAAGTGGCTCTCCTCCTGTTCCTGCGAGTGCTGACGGTGCAGCTGTAGACCAGATCAGTAACCCTGTCTGAAAGTATCAGAGAGCTGTTGATGTTGTAGAGCTGCTGTTCAGTCTGCTGGACTCTGGTTGTGTTCTTGAAGGCCACTTTGGACGGAGGTCTGGTGGACCAGGTGAGTTCAGGCTCAGGGTAGATCCCCTCTGAGCTGCAGGTGATCCTGTTTTCTTCCTGCTCCATGTGGACTTTATGGACCGGAGCTGCAAAAACAGAGATCTTGATGTGATACGGATGAACTCACTTTCAATTTGACAGCACATATGCTAAATTTAGAAATGTACTGAACATAAAGAAAACACAAGTTGATGGTTTTGTGTATCTACTGTGTGTTTCTCGTACCGTCCACTTGTAGGTTGATAAATGATTCCTTGTTGCCTCTGATGATGCTGGTGAAACACCTGTATCTGCCCTGGTCCTGAACCTGGACCCCAGTCAGCTGGAGCGAGGCGTTTCCTCCGGAGATCTGGTCCTTGAACAGTGATGTCCTGCCTCTGAAGCGCTGGCCCTGGTGTCCCAGCTGGTCTTGGTTGTGGTAGTAGGAGTGGACAAGAGTGTCTCCTGCTGTCACATGATACCAGTGGATGACTGCATCAGTGCCGCCCTGGAAGCTGCACGGTAAGATGCAGCTCTCCATAAAAACACTGGACACCTCAGCATCTGCAACACATCAGGTACAAACAACATACTTTATTTTGTACCAAGTCGTTCTCACTCTCAAGCCGTCATTTTTGAACACTTAAGGTAGGTGTATAATATATAACAGTGAAGTCTGAGTAAGGAGGTGACTGACGTGGACAGATCGGCCATAAACTGAACTTTCATGTAGGAGGCCTATGTTTGCTTCTTATGTGAAACAAAAAGTGTTAAGTGTTGCGTAGGTTATGAAAGTTGTGAAGGTTACACATGTAGCGTTGATTAATGGTGTTATTTTAAGCCAAACTAGGAAGTTTTTCCCTCAATCAAATTTACAACGTTAGCCATTAGTTTTTATTTTGAGTCTAACCAGACGTAGCCTATTTATTATTGCTATCTTGACCGGACGTTGTGTATTGATTGTTGCTAACTTGACCTGGGTACCAAGGGGGTTACAAAGCGACACCAAATGGTCTTGACAAAGCGTAGTGTTCACTGTGAGTTTTTAAAATCTGAGAGTAAATGTGTGCTATAAATAGATCATAATAAAAAGCTGTTAAATTGGGATATTATATACCTTCCTGCCCAGTCCCAAGGGGGCGGGGTTTAGCCTCAACCTGTCAGGCCACACCTGAACTGATAAGAGGCATGATGAGGCTCTGCTCAGTCACTTTCCCTTTGTTTGCATGAAGTCTTGCTAATCCTTTCCAGTTGACTGTTAACTGGATGCATTATTTGAGTAAGTTCTGTATATTTGTTAAAGTTATTGCTGTTTCCTTGTTCAATAGTGAAAGAGTGCTTTAATTTGATTATGACCTGTAGCCTACCTTCTGTCTACTGATTGCTTTCATTTGCCTTTTAGCTGTTCAATCATCTGTCAGTCAACTATTGAAGTGGGAAACTTTAAAAGGACAATAAACTGTTGAACAGCTCTCATCTCTGGTCCTCATACTTTAACTGGTGTGCATTATCCAGCTTCCATAAAGGCAAGTTTCTACAGCTTGAAACAATGAAATACTTGTTTTATAACCAATTTTATAGCTAAAATCAAGACCTGTCACCCAGCAGGGTGGTTAGGGTGGACGGACGGATCCTTTCCTTGATCATTTATAGTTAGTTACTTTTTTAAACTGCTAAAATTCTTGTTATACTTGTTTAATTAAATTGTGGTCTTTTGTGACTTGATAAGGGAACGAATTATAGCCTCTTATGCTTTCAATTTTAGTTTGTTTGGCAGATACTTTATCAAATCAATGGCTAAAAACAAAATTAGATATTGTTTAATTACATGTAACTAGTTACTTCCCAACACTGGTAACTGAAATATAATATTTATTATATGCCTAAACTAGTGGTAAACTATACAGTATATGAAAGTTTATTGAATATGCTGAGATTATCTAAGTAATATAGTAACATTATACTGTGTTACGGCCGCCGCTGGCTGCCTTAGAGTAGTTGTGTTTTGGAGTTCTCTGAACAGTATGCAAATCCCCGCTGCAAGCACCTGTTGAGGATTGGTTCCCCTGGAACCACCCACTTCCTGGTTGCTGTTTGCTGGTGTCTGATTGGTGTGGCTGAAGATCCAACCGAACCTGCCAACCAGGACTCACCAATCAACACCAGCTGGCCTACTAATAGTTTGTGTTCCTGCAGTTTGAGGCGACTGTGAGCCAGTGATCAGTCCACCTTGTTGTTGGTTGTGTACCCCTGTGGACACTGGTAACTGAAATATAATATTTATTATATGCCTAAACTAGTGGTAAACTATACAGTATATGAAAGTTTATTGAATATGCTGAGATTATCTAAGTAATATAGTAACATTATACTGACAGCTGACTTGAATAACATCAGGTCCAGTGCAGCTGATCTGCCGCCCAGTCCTGCATTCACGCCAAAGCATTCAGTAACTCAGTACAGCAGCATTATTTGGGTTAGTAACTGTAATAATATTGCTGTTTTGGAAATAGTAATCTGTTACACTACTAGTTACTGGGAAAATGAGTAAAGTAATATTATTATTATTAGGGAAACACCCTCCCTCCTCTGAGGGAGTAAACACAGCCTACAGCTCCACACTGCTCCCCACCACATTTTGAAATGGCTGATTTTGTCCCCATCAGTTTTTAAAAGCATTTGTTAAAAATATTCTAGAAATAGCACCAAAAACTGTTAAAATGTAAATGCTTTGAGAAAAGGCTTTTTTGCACAATAAGAAAATTTGCAATGCAATATAGTATTCACTTTAATTGGAGCAGAAAATGTCTCCAGAATGCAGGAAATTACGAGTTTAATGCTCAAAATCTTCTGGGGGAGGACCCCCAGCCTCCCTGGACATATATCTCTGCATCTAAATAGTGCTAAAATTTTTCTCATCTTGTTCTCGTGCACGATCATGTCTCATGACCCAAATGTATCATCACGCCCCCAATCTGAGCCCGTATGTCCCCACAACTTTTCAACCCAATGACGTGTTCACTCCCCCAGATTATATGACCCCCCCTTCAGGCCTGTGACTCTTTCCCTCCAAATGATTCCAGGAAGAACAAAATATGGACTTTTCACCTTTATAATATTTTGTATGTATGGCATGTTTATTATGCTAGATTTTTAATTGAGGAGAAAAGAGTGAAATGCCAGACTGTGGATGCATCAATGATGTAACTTAAAACGATTATCTAATTTATTAATATATTATGTTTAATACTATTCAGATGTATTTTCTTTCAATATTCCTTTTGTATACAAAACATCATCCACCATCCCACTGCTAACCATTTTTATTCACCTTTGACTACAATAAACTGTTGGACCGATTTCAATCTGTAGCCTAATCACTCTTTATTAATGTATTACCAACACTGAAACTATGAATTCACGTCCTGTTTCTGGGCTAAATGCCATTCTGTTAAATGCAGGGCAACTTTGTCCTGATAACAGTTACTGTAGGCTAAAGTGTATGTGACACCCTTATAACATTATGAACATTAGAATATAAGTTTCCCATTACTACTTAGCTTCAGGCAGCAGTGCGATCTGCTTTGCTGTAGTCTGGATCTAAGTTATTAAGTACATGCAGTTGGCTCGGAGAAGGTTTATCTGTTAAGTCTAGTTTTGCAAGCCGCCCCTGGCTCCTATTTCTTGTTCAACATCTGTCTGTCTTCTTTTCTAACGCAGTATAAAGACTCTGGACGCTCTTACCTTATTTGTGTATCTCTGAAGTAAAAAACTTCACTCACCTCCTTCTGCAGAAGCTAACATCCAGAGAAAACTCCAGACCACCAGACACACAGAACAGCCAACCATCATTTTCTATTCTCTGCATGTTTTTTCACATTAAAACAGAGAATGATAACATATCCAGTGTGATCCACATCCTTTTCTGTTTACTCAGGCACTTTATATTTGCCCTTTTCCTTTCCCCTCGTTATCCCTGTCCTAGTTGTTGCTTCTGTCTTGCCTTGTGTTTGTTTTACTCCCACTAAATTCCTGTCTGTAAGTTGAACCTGTCGCCACATGTTTGCAGCTGCAGCTGTAAGTCAGTTTTTCATGCAAAAGCATTTGTTGGTTTCAGTTTCTCACATTGAAGATTTGCTGCTTTTCCTCTGAAAGATTATAATAATTGTATGTTTGTTAATAATATTGAGGTTTGGACACATCAAGCTTTGTGAATATGCAACAAATCTTTACAACCCAAGTCAGCCATTCATGGAGAAGATAATCAGTATATTAATTCATAAAAGTATATTAATAGTACAACAGACACAGGCATATTTTACTGCTTTAATAATTTAAGTACATTTTCCTGATTATACTCACGTACTTTTACTGCAGTAACATTTTCTATGTTTTATTGTAACAGTATTTTATTTTGCTTCACTGCAGTCTGCATTTTAAAAACATCTTAAAAACATGATGTTGAAGATTTACTGAGGAAAAAACTGCATTTCAAAATATTACAGTATTTCGATTATCGAACTTTAAAGTCTGAACAAATGTTACAAACTTTACTGTTTGTAAATCAATAAAATGAACTGCTGTTTGTTGAGTTTTATGTTTAGCCTGAATCTCAATCTAATCATTTTTCTTGAACTAAAAATGTATTTATTAATTCCATTTAGTTCCATTGAGAGAAATTGTGGCGTTTCTCATTTCTGAATTTGAAGAAGACTTTTTGAAGCTAAAGAGGAAATGTTTTTAAGTTAAAGTGCAGGATCTCTGTATGTGTTTTTATTTCTCTTCAGGTTTTAAAGTTAATCTACAGTATTGTGCAAAAACACTTTCACCATATCCAACCTGTTAAACCTGGTCTGCGGTCTGAGTTAACAGGTTGTGACATGTACAAATATGAACTGCAGTTTGTGTGTGGAAAAATATCTTACTAAAATATCAAACAGACTTGGACCCCTGCAGTGTGTTTGTATATAATACTACAGCACCGACGTTGGCAGAATTAATCTGACGCCTGGCAATAACATCCTTTATATCAAATGAAGAGAATCACGTGGCAGACAGCTAGTATTACTAGTTAGCTTGTAGATTATGATTTTACAAGCGAAACATATAACCTTTAAAATGATGTTCATGGCATTTGTTCCATCCTCCTTATCAAGTTATTTTAGCCCTCCTTAAAACATGTGCAAATATCCATTAGAGCAGTAAATAATAATATTACAGTCTGTTTTCCACTTCGTTTTTGTAGGGGAGACTGGGGATGGTTGTAACACAGGTCAGTTTTAACACATCCAATTTGCCCAATCAGGAACAAGTTCAAATCACTTAATTCACTCTGCACATGCTCAGTTTAGCCCTTATTCCACTTTTGAAAGGTAGCACCTGTGGCAGGTACAGCTAACTTTAGAAGAAAATATTATTTTGAGGTTAAAAAAACAAAACACTTTTGCTATGTAATAGCAATGTAGGAAATATTTGCAGAATTTAATAAAAATTGTATTGGATAAGAATCACAAAGTATCCCTTTAACCCCTAGTTTCTCCAGAGGCGTGTGACCTCTGACCTACAGTGGGTACGGAAAGTATTCAGACCCCTTTAAATTTTTCACTCTTTGTTGATTGCAGCCATTTTCCAAAAATCAAAAAAGTTCATTTTATTTCTCAGTAATGTACACTCAGCACCCCATCTTGACAGAAAAAACAGAAATGTAGAAATTTTTGCAAATTTATTAAAAAAGAAAAACTGAAATATCACATGGTCATAAGTATTCAGACCCTTTGCCGTGACACTCATATTTAACTCAGGTGCTGTCTATTTCTTCTGATCATCCTTGAGATGGTTCTACACCTTCATTTGAGTCCAGCTGTGTTTGATTATACTGATTGGACTTGATTAGGAAAGCCACACACCTGTCTATATAAGACCTTACAGCTCACAGTGCATGTCAGAGCAAATGAGAATCATGAGGTCAAAGGAACTGCCTGAAGAGCTCAGAGACAGAATTGTGGCAAGGCACAGATCTGGCCAAGGTTACAAAAAAACTTCTGCTGCACTTAAGGTTCCTAAGAGCACAGTGGCCTCCATAATCCTCAAATGGAAGACGTTTGGGACGACCAGAACCCTTCCTAGAGCTGGCCGTCCGGCCAAACTGAGCTATCGGGGGAGAAGAGCCTTGGTGAGAGAGGTAAAGAAGAACCCAAAGGTCACTGTGGCTGAGCTCCAGAGATGCAGTCGGGAGATGGGAGAAAGTTGTAGTAAGTCAACCATCACTGCAGCAATCCACCAGTCGGGCTTTATGGCAGAGTGGCCCGACGGAAGCCTCTCCTCAGTGCAAGACACATGAAAGCCCGCATGGAGTTTGCTAAAAAACACCTGAAGGACTCCAAGATGGTGATAAATAAGATCCTCTGGTCTGATGAGACCAAGATAGAACTTTTTGGCCTTAATTCTAAGCGGTATGTGTGGAGAAAACCAGGCACTGCTCATCACCTGTCCAATACAGTCTCAACAGTGAAGCATGGTGGTGGCAGCATCATGCTGTGGGGGTGTTTTTCAGCTGCAGGGACAGGACGACTGGTTGCAATCGAGGGAAAGATGAATGCGGCCAAGTACAGGGATATCCTGGACGAAAACCTTTTCCAGAGTGCTCTGGACCTCAGACTGGGCCGAAGGTTTACCTTCCAACAAGACAATGACCCTAAGCACACCGCTAAAATAACGAAGGAGTGGCTTCACAACAACTCCGTGGCTGTTCTTGAATGGCCCAGCCAGAGCCCTGACTTAAACCCAATTGAGCATCTCTGGAGAGACCTGAAAATGGCTGTCCACCAACGTTTACCATCCAACCTGACAGAACTGGAGAGGATCTGCAAGGAGGAATGGCAGAGGATACCCAAATCCAGATGTGAAAAACTTGTTGCATCTTTCCCAAAACGACTCATGGCTGTATTAGATCAAAAGGGTGCTTCTACTAAATACTGAGCAAAGGGTCTGAATACTTATGACATGTGATATTTCAGTTTTTCTTTTTTAATAAATTTGCAAAAATTTCTACATTTCTGTTTTTTTCTGTCAAGATGGGGTGCTGAGTGTACATTACTGAGAAATAAAATTAACTTTTTTGATTTTTGGAAAATGGCTGCAATCAAACAAAGAGTGAAAAATTTAAAGGGGTCTGAATACTTTCCGTACCCACTGTATATAGCAATTGAAATCGTTTTGGATAAAAGCGTCAGCTAAATGAAGTCAAAATATAAAAAACATGATTTTTTAGTTTGGACAACACAAAAAGTACAGTAGAGTAGTACTAGTAGTAATTGTAACTGTAGCACAGAAAATGTTCATAATAACATCCACAAAATATTTATTCCAGCACCTTTTTCACTCATAACATCTCTGTGTACAAATGTTTTAGTTTATGGTGTTTGTTCTGTTGTTTGTTGAGCTTTTTGTTTATGCTTCTTCTGTGTACGCACATCGAGAACAATATGAGACCGGAGTCAAATTCCTCGTATGTAACACATATCTGGCCACTGAAGCTGATTCTGAAAACATGACTCCAGCCTCACAGGTGAAATATCAAAAGTCACATAAAGTCTGAAGAAAATGATGACGTGGTGATAATTTTACGTTTCAATATCCTCAAATCTCAACAAACACACAGCCTTGTACTGTATTTGTATTGACTTACAGTAATTAATCAGCAGCTACACTCAGTGGCCACTTTATTAGGTACAACTGTGCAAACTAATACAAAGAATTTAAGTTGCTCTTGATGTTGCACACAGAACATTTACAGACCTCCAGCTGAACAGATTGTAAACAATAATAACAGAACAGTTATGTTTACAAATGGTAAAAAAAATAGATGTGTTAAAAATATACAGTCTATAAAAAGCAACAATGAACAACAACGACAATTTCTGTATACAAGTCAAACTGTTTCTGAATTTTAAACATGAAGGTTGCTGCACCACATTAAGGGACGCGTCCCTCTGTCCTCTGTCCCTCTGTCCCCCGTGCAGCTTTGGGACTCTGATCCCGTCGGTTCATCTTCTGCAGACTAACAGGCAGAAACTAACTCCTCACCAACAGATTGAAATTGTATTGGCAGGTGAGCTCATCACAAGCAGTCTAGTGCTCAAAGTTATAAACAGCTGATTGATTCAGAATAAAATAAAAGTGAGCTTGGGACTGGTGGTGCTGTGGGCTCGTACACTCCCATGGAAGAGCGAGGATTAAGTGTGTTAGTGTTTTTAGTTAAAAACCATTTATCTTCTCTTTTAGTGAAATAGTTCTTTGTTTCTGTGCTCTTTTTTCCTGTTTCAGGTGTTTGTTAATAAATATCTTATTTGTTTGCATATAATCTGTTTCCTGTTTCTTGTGGCCCGGTTTTTATATTTGTTACTCCTCTCTTTACCTCTGGCCTGAGCCACATGAGGACGTAACAGCTGTTGCTTCTTGTAGTAACTCAGGGGCAGACTGTGAATTATACAGAGACAACCGGGAGGGGGAGTCAACCTTTTTTTTTTTCAGGTCAAAAAGAAAACCCAGTAGAGCGCAGGCTTTTAATACAAAACTCACAGTATCCTCGCTTATTAACTAATGTATGCAGCCTGTAGATGATGGTAAATCAAATTCATGACATCAGTTCATGGTGCTCCATACCACATGACAACTTTTGTAGTCAGAGGTCAAAACTGCCAGATAGTCAGACAACAGCAGACCGTCATGACCGCTCAAAAACAGACCCACACAATACTGAACCAGAACCAAAGACACTATCATAAAATTATTATAATTATCATTTCAAGTTTTAGCAAATAAGATGAATCTGCGTTCAATAAAGTAGTCGTCATACACTGTTGGGGAATTAGGAAAAAATGATATTAAACAGAATACTGTCTAGCTCAATATAAAAAGTGCAATAAGATGTCGTTGTTCTGAATTGGCACTATAGAAATAACACTGGATTTTAACGTTTACCTAGCCAGGTACAACTCCTGAATTCTACACTGAAAACAAA